GTCTTCTCCACACAACAAGCTTCTGTCAAACCCTAACAATGGTGGCCAACTACCTTTTAACTCGTTTTTACTGTATTTTAACTTGTTTTCAATTGGATTTAGCCTAAAACTAGTAGATCTAACATCATATATCTCTTTTCTAACCAAAAATAAAAGATTTCAAATATTTTTTTTTTGTGATTTTCAATTCGACTTTATCTAAATCCGGCGGTACACTTCCGCCAAGCGCGTCTCCGGTGCTTCTGCAGTCTCCGCGGCCGCGGATTCAAACAAATTTCTGATTTTTTTTTTAAATAATTAGAATGACATTTTCGTAATAAAATTTTTTTGCTAAGGTTTATATGTTTTTTATGACATTTGTTAAGTTTTAACCTTGTGTAAGAGTTGTTTTAGTAATTATGTCATTTTTCAAAATTGTTCCAGTAATTTTCCCCAAAGAAAATCAATTTTATTTTATTTTTATATCCCACCCAATAACAATTCAAAACCTAAACGAAGCAAGAGTTTGGATACAGCGCCGTGAGCATTGTTTTTTGATATTTCAAGATCAAACTTCTTAAAACGTAATTCTATATAATATTGGTGAAAAATTAAAAGATGGAAAATAGTTATTAAAACTAGGGTAATTTACTTTCGAAATGTATTGGTATGTTTTGGAGGACCAAACTTGCACATATTGTTATCATAAACTTGCTACGCAATTAAAAAAAAAAAAAACTATTAGGATATTTGTCAAGACTAACCTGATAATTGTAGTAACTCTTGTGGAGAAGCAAAAGCAATGTTCATAGAGTATTGGACCAAAAGACGAATAGAAGCCAGAAGACAATTAAATTTGAAAAACTCTTTTTTGTCATCTCTCTTTTTTTAATATGCTTAACCTCTCTGATTCAGTACTCTTATTTATGTCCTTATGCTAATGGACCTATGGTTAAAGCTCCACGAAAAGTAAAAGAAAAACGAAGACTAGAGTACGTAGCAAACCATTTTTGTTTTCGGCCACTCATTTAATTAGTTGGACTTAAAGTCTTAAACAAAACATTTATTGCATTAATAATTGTGTTTGTTTGGACTTTGGAGTAAAACCCACGAATACTTATATCATTATAGAATTTGACTAAGTCCAAACGGGATATTCCGTATAAAGGATATGAGATTTCGACCCAAAATTGATGAAAAATCCACGGCTAAATTTTCAACACGGCTATCAAATTTTAAAATCATGTGTCACTATATTGAATTTTCAATATCGCATTTCAATTCGTTAATTTAATCGCGAGGTTAGC